GATTTTGCATATTTCAATATGTGCATGTACTAAACAGATTAATATAAAATCACTTGCATAATAGTGCATCAAAGGAACTGTCAAATAGTCAAGAATCCTTACCCCCAGTGGATTCTTTGATTCTTCGATGCACCATGATCCAAGTGATTTTGGATTAACCTGTTTAGTGCTGAAACGCAAAATTCACTTGTTGAATTTTAGAATCCAATCTTCAATTTTCTCAAAGAAATGCACCCTAAACAACAGCTTGACCTATGCATCATGCCTGGGTATAACTTTTGATAGTTTGCATTACTTTGGGTCACCAAAGCAAGAGCGAACAGAAAGGAGGTCACACTACGGAAACAGTTGAGCCCTGTCATACAGCTCGGGAGGAGGGGGATACTCCCTTTATATGGGCTATATAGGCTATATAGGTATGTGCGACCCCAAAGGGTATGGTTTTTCAGCCGTTTTGGTCATAAAATAGGGTATGGATTTTGCACTCTAGCCTTGATATGGGTATGTTATTAAGAAGAAGCCACTTTTTCATCATTATCGAAAAGAAGATCAGCAAAAGCCCTCCACAAATTATGTGTACCGTAATTTAACATTGGTCTGAGCAAGAGAACTAATTGTAACACAGGTCTGAAACAGGGTTTTGATTTAAGGGTTAGGTCATAAATATGGTATCGAATTTTTGGTCAGGTCATAAATAGGGTAGGGAATATCGCAGATTTTGGTCATACATAGGGTAAGGGTTTTGGGAAGTGGGCCACACACCCCCACCAAATTTTTCTGGGAGTACCCCCCCCTCCCCCGCCGGGTCGTACAGTAACCACAACAATGTCTGCTATATATTGTTCCGTTACACACAACCTCCCTTACTTTGATCTCCTTGTAATATTTTATGTTGTTACGCTGTGCATGATGAAACACTGTATCGTGTAGTGCGAAAGTCCTCAGTAAAGACAACAAGCTCAAACAGAACTCCGTCTCATAGAGACCTTGCATCAATTAAGCTCGCAGAAAGCTTTTAAGAGTCACAAAGCGCGCACTTCACATGTAATAGTCAAAAGCACATTCAATAAACTTATTCATAATCAAAAACGCATCTAAATCAAACAAACTTTAACTGCTTCACATATTGCAAATAATATTGAGCTCACCTAAAGCCAAAGAAAGAAATAACGAGATGAAAGCCACCCGAAAATACAGTTCGGATACAAACTCCGCCATCTTTTGTTTAGTTACAGAATGCAATCGTACCCGTCTCGCTTGACTAGCCTTCCCCATAAAAACTTCACCTCATATTAAAGAACGGCCTCTGTTAGCAGCACAAAGTTGAACCAGAAAATTGTGGGGGTTTCTGGCCACGATATTGGCCATTGTTGATGCATGAACAATTTTCGTTTTCCTCGATCTCCTGAAATAAGATTACTTCCACAGGTCTGGGCAAGGTGGATATCTGTTACATGCTTCCCGATATTCTTTGCGCTATGGCCATTTCAGCTTACTTATGTTTGGTTTATTTCAGCATATTTCAGCAGATTGTAAATGAAAGCCATCAATGCATTGTTTTATCTGACACATTCTACAATGGTGTCTTTTAACAATTTAATTGGGTTCAACATATTTACAGACAGCAAATGATGGCCTTGTCTGCCAAATGTTTGCTCCATATAGGTTTCCCATTATGAAATCGCTAAATTATTTTAATGGCCTCGTTTCAGTAAAGTAAGCGGTCAGACAAAAAGGAAGTGACGTCAAGTATTTTTATTAACAACTTGACAATATTTTTTCTTCCTGAGAGCGATCACATAAATATTCAAGGAATTGATATAATATTCAAAACTTACTTGAAT